GAGCAGTATGGGAGAGGTCCGGCTTCTTCTGAGGCGTTGTCGACGTTCTGTTCATCCCAGTCTGCTTCGTCCGCTGCTGACGCGAAGGCTCGGTCACCACGAAAACCACTGGTGAGGTCCCGATTCTCGTGCAAGTTGGCGAGGTACGTCTGAAGGGTGAGTCTTTCGTAGAAGATCACGTCACGTGCTGCTACTGTTTCCTTTGTGTGGACGTCGAAGATTTTCCATGCGTTGTAATTTTTCTCGATGCCGAGGTGTAGTCCCCACTGTGCCCGTTGCGAAAATCTTCCCGCTCGTGCTTCTGGGGGTCTGTACTGTACCATGCACCCGAAAACTCGTAACATTTTCGTGCTGCCCTGCTTCCCTGTCCACAGCAGATGCGGTGATGCGTTGTTCGGGAGTGACGACGACGACAACAAGTTGTGTAGCATGACAGCGTGGTCCATTGCTGCTGGCCACTGGTGGTTGGGTAGCCGCATGCCACGTAATAGTTTGCGCATGCTGTTCTGCAGGGTCCTGTTCAGTCGTTCTGCAACACCTTGCTGCTGATGTGCGTAAGGAAGGGAGAGGAGTTGCTTGATCCCCCTTTCCGCCAAGAACTGCTTGAAGCGGTGAGAGGTGTACTCGCCACCTCCGTCTGACTGGAATTTTTTCAGTTGTGTTCCAGACTCTCTCTCTGCTATCGGTAGCCAGGCGGCGAATGCTGCGAGCGCCATGTCGCGGCTGGGTAGGTTGCGATGCCAGACGTATCGAGTGGCGGCGTCGATGAAGGTGATGGTGTAGTTGTAGTTGACTTGTCCTGGCTCGCGATTGTAGAGGATGTCGCTGTAGACTTTTTCGAGTGGGGCGTACGCTGGAGCGCTCGGGTTGTGATGTGAAGCAAACGGTCGATGAGGTAAGTCAGCTTCGGGACATATAAGGCAAGTCCCTCGTGCCTTCTGGAGTTCTCTGCCATCGGGTAGAAGTAGAGAATCTTTGTCAAGGACTCCTGCTCTTATCGTGTTATTCAAAACCGTGTTGCTTGGATGTCCTGTTCGTGCGTGCCAGATCTCTTCAGAGGCACGGTGTCCAGGTGAACGCTGATATGCGTCGGAGTTGGAGTAAAAGCTGGCGACGAGGTTGGCGCTTCGGTGGACTTCACGTTGAGTCGGATTCAGCTGTTTCGCGGGTGTTGGTGGTGCTTCGTCGACTGTGACTGGTGTCGTTGTTCCTGCTGCTGCTGATGTTGTTGCTGCTGCCGATGTTGTTACTGCTGCTGATGTTGTTGCTGCTGCCGATGTTGTTACTGCTGCTGATGTTGTTGCTGCTGCCGATGTTGTTACTGCTGCTGATGTTGTTGCTGCTGCCGATGTTGTTACTGCTGCCGATTGTCGAATTGTTGCTAATGCTCGTGTTCGTTCTGCTTCAGGAATGGTGTGCGAGTACCAGAAGCCTCCTGGGCTGAAGTCGGGGTCGAGATCCGGAGGGTGTGTCCAGTCAGTGAAATTCACGATGGCGTCGCTGTCTGCAGTGCCCAGGTCAGGAACGAAGTCGAGGACGAAGACGTTGTTCTTCAGTACTGCTTTCCCGATGTAGAGACCGCCTCTCCCGTGGTAAAGTTTGAACTCCTGGGTCGTGCTGTCGGCTTCCAGATGAATTCCTTTCGCCATCAACTGGCTAACGCTCAGTAAGTTGTAGCCGAGTCCTTCAGCGATGAGTACCTTAGACATGTGCAGTATGACATTTGTTTCTCTTGACTGAAGCTGTACCACTCCTTGTCTTCGTGTGCGCAGGTTTTGGTTGTTGGCAACCGTGATGATCACTTCCCGTTGGAGTCGATGTTCGCGTTGTACGAAACGCCCGGACGAGCACATGTGTTGCCCGCAGCAACTGTCCAAGAACCAGGTGTCTTGGCCGGACGGTTCACTTTGAGCGATGGCGGCGTACGTTGGATTCGGCTGGAGTAGCTCACGGCGAGGCGTTCTGTTGTCAAGCTCTTCTTCCGGTGAGTAGTGTGGTGGTGATTCGGTTGTACATGAATCGGTTATCTTCGTCATGCAGTTGATTATATTTCTTGCTCCTTGTGCAGGTTGTCCGGGTGAAGTCGTTGAAGCTTGAATAGTGGTCGTCGCACTTGCTTGTGTTGAAGCCATTTGGGAGCTTGAAGGTCGAAGTTGTCGCTGTGGTGCCGTTGATTGCTGACGATTCGGGCAGTGTGTGCGCGGGTGCCCTGAAGTCTTGCAGATGTGGCAGAAGGGAGGTACTATCTTCGGTTGCTGCTGTCGGTTGTTATAATTGCTGTGTCGTCGTTGAGTGTGGAATGCGAACTCTGATACTGTCGTTTTCTTCCTGTGTCGTTCTTCCTGCAGGTCCATATCTTGCTGCTCGGCATGTATTTCGGCGCAGAGTGCAGCTTCAGAGATTCTTCCGTGGGCTCGAAGAATGGCTTTGGTGGCGCGCCACTGAGGACCAAGCCCACCAATGATGACTGTCACGAAGGCGTCTTCAGAGATTGACCCTCCGCATCGAAGCAGCTTGTCGCGCAGTTCGCGACATCGGCTGATATACGCCAGCCCTTTTTCTCCTGGTTTCATTTCGACTGTCGTCAACTGCGCCATTAACCTGCTCTGGTTTACACTGTCTGTTGCTTGATACAGGTTTTTTCAGATGGCTGTACGCGAGCTCCGCCGAGTTGCCGAAGGTCCGGTAAGAGCGAATGTTCTGCTGCTGAGTTGGTGTCACATTCCTCAATAGGATTGTATACGCCATCATTGATTGATACGTATACTGCTGCTTTTCATATTGTGTCCCGTTGGCTGGATACTGCAGGGACCCGTCGAAGAAGCCGAGTATCTGCGCGCCCTCCATCATCAGCTCGAATTCAAAGGACCAGGTAAAGAAGTCTTTGCCGTCGAAGGGTCTTGACGTTTGCAGTTTTAAGACGTGTGCAAACTGCGACTGAACTTGAAGTGCGTCCAGTGGTCTTTCTTGTCCAGGTGAAGGTTGCGGGTGGGGCACGAAGCTGATTGACCCGCGCTCGTACGGAGCAAAGGTAGGTTGCTGCTGCTGGTTTCCTCGCGCATATGACGACCCATCAAGACTCATGGGTGTCGCTCCGTTGTTGCTGTTGTGTGTTTGTGCAGGTCCCGACTGCTGGTGTTGTTCGTAGAAGGACATGAAGGAGAAAAATTTCTCCATCATGTTCTGGTCAAAGTCCGAAGGGTGGTTCATGGGGGTCTCGGTTGACGTTCCTCTTGGTCTTGTTGCCGTGCCTTCTTCTGTCTGCAGGCCAGAGGCTGACGGTGGAGTAGGAGTAGTGCCCGAGGAGCCATTAGGGGAGCTCCTTTCCTTGTTTGTTGCCATGTCTTGTAATGATATTGAAAAAAGAGTAGAGTTTCCCTTGTCTGCTCTCATACCATGTTGGGCTGAGATAGCCCCTTAGGATCTTTGCAAGGGATAACTCTAGGTGAAGTAGTTGTAATAGCGGAAGCGTTTAGTGAAGAATTTGAACCGACCTTGCACTGGTGTGTGAGAGCAAAGTTGATTGAATTAAACAAGCAAATACAAGGATTTATATAAGAGTACAGGGAATAGATAGATAACTGTATTGCTGTTGCGGTTCGATATAGCGCGACTCGGGCAACTGCTCTGCAACGAGTCAGTTGTGTGTCCTTAACTGTCGCGCTGTAATTGTCGAGTCAAAGGTCAGCGACCTTTGACTTTCTCGTAACCTCCAGGCGGTTACCCTAACCTCCGAGGTTGGCTCGATGCTTCGATTGGGACTGCTTCGCTTGGTACCTTGGATTTTGATACGACAGAAGCGCACTTAGGACTTATTGTTTCCAACACTCTTCACCATTAGTCTCGATATTGCATGCTTCTCTTGCTGCAGTTAGGAGTGCATGGTGCCTTTCTCAATTTACAATTCGTATGATGTTGGTCCTCCTGTCCGTGCTTCGTGATCCATTTTGGAAATCCTTGCTTCCGAGAATTTAGTATCAGTGTAATTGTAATCGTACCCTGTGTACTCAGGGGAAAAAATCACTCACACTGTCTTACAAAGGGGAAAAAAATCTCTACACTTTTGGCCTAGGGCAAAAATCCCACTACCCTTGCTGGGAAAGGGTAACTAATAAAAAAGCGGCCGCCAAAAAGAGCAAAAATTGGTTTACCGTCACCCCCCGGATATAAGCGCCACCCTAGGATAAGCGCCTGGCGCTTCTAATTGGCATATGGCGCTTATATCCCCTCCTCGATTATAAGCGCACCCCCTGAAAAAACTAGTTTTATTATAAGCGCACGTAAACTTTAAAATTTGAAATGTGTACAAAACGTTGTAATGATTTTTACTTTAGCAGGCAGATATGTTGCAGATTCGGTTCCCTTCACATTCGGACCCTGCACTGGATGCGGGTCCAGTCAGCAGGAGCTGTCAGGAGCTGGATGTGAGTCAGATTGGGTGTGTCTCCCAGCGCGCGCGAGAATTTCACAGACGACCCCATGTAAATTCGACTCGATTGAAAGGGCAAGCACGAGACCTACAGTTTGGTGTTAAACAATATAAAAAATATGAATGTCATTTTATAAACGCCGGCGCTTATAAATTTACTCGATTATAAGCCCACCCCCTTGAAAAAACCTGTTTTATTATTGCCCCCCATGGGGGTATATCCGGGGGGTGACGGTACCCTGATATCTAGAGCCTCCTCACTCTTACTGATACAACTCATAACATATCCACTGATGAGTATGACCCGGCCGTAGCGCACCGCACTGAAACGGTGCGGAGAAGCTTGCTAGCAAAACAACACATAAGTCTTCCTGTTTCCCCAGTATTTCCAGTGCCAGTGTCGCGCGCAGCCTAAACATCAGCGACAGTCGGTTTCCAGCCAGTTCCATCTCGAGGCCGGTTCACGCGCCCGCGTCGAAGCCTCCCGAGATTAGTTCACTAAGAACTTGAATCGACTCAGAAGTTTACTTTTGAGCGCTACCGGCGCTCGTCTAGGCGCAGCAGCGGCGCAATGCAGCCGAAGGGAGGCGGCGCGGGGGGGCTGGCGGCCTCCTCGCAGGTTGCGCCAGCGACAGGCGCCGCCGCGACCGCTAGCGCAGTTGGTGGCGGTGGTGCGGCGGGAACCGCAGGCGGAGGCAAGGCGAAGGGGACGAAACGTAAGGGATTCTTTGTGATTGAGAAGGATTGGGTGTAAGTGAGAGGGCACGCGGTGTGAGTGCGAGGGCACGCGGTGTGAGTGCGAGGGCACACGCGAAGGCATACGGCGGTGGGTAACGGAACAGCGCCATGCATCGTGTGGCATGTCTCTTTCTCGTGCAGGCTCGTGGGCATGAATGGGTGTATGGTGAACTCTGTATGCGCGTGTGCCACGTGTGGTGCGGGGCACGTATGCCACGTGTGGGGCGACCAACTCTTTATGCATTCCAGCATCCAGTCGCCAAAACAAGACGCCCTACACCTCTCGCCTCACCCCCCCCTTCTCATCTCCCCCCATTTCCGGTGCCACCCCCCCGTGCCAGCACCAGCCACAGCACACAAACCCGGCCACTTTCACTCCTCTCCTCTCCAATCACTTCAGCCCCTCCTCTCATTCCAGCACACTCCCCCCTTTTCCCCCCACATCTTGCCCCTTCTGCCCGCCCTCACCCGCCCAGTTGGGGCGGCAGCGAGGCCCAAGAAGATGTTGAAAGCAGATGTCCTTTCGCCCCCTCCTCTCATTCTCGCACAGCATACCCTTTTCTCCCCCACCTTCTCTCCCCCCCCTTCGTCCCCCCCACCCCATTCCCTCCCTTCTGTCCCCCTCTGCCCGCCCTCACTCACTCCCCCAGGCGGAGCAGCAGGCGCAGCGGCATGGAGGCCAAAGAAGATGCCCGCCGGCCCCTTGGTCGCTCCCCACCCCTTCACCCCTCTACCCGCCCTCACTCCCCAAGATGTCCGAAGAATATGTCCGCTGCCCCCTCGGTCCCCTCCCACCCCTTGCCCTCCTCTGCCCCCCTTTACCCGCCCTCACGCCCCCAGGCGGAGCAGCAAGCGGGGCGGCAGCGGCGAGGCGAAGCTCAAGAAGATGTCATCGGATTAGATAACCTTTCACCCCCTCTTTTCATTCTCGCACCCCCCAACCCCCCCCCCCCCCCCCCCTTCCCCTTCCCACCGCCCATCCTCCCCTTGTTCCCCCACCAGGCGGAGCAGCAGGTGGGGCGGCAGCAACGAGGCCCAAGAAGATATCCAAAGCAGCTGTCCGCCTCCCCCCCTCATTCACCACTGCTTGCCCCCCTCTGCCCCCCTTTACCCGCCGTCACTGTGCCAGGCGGGGCAGCAGGCGGGGCGGCAGCAGCGGCGCGGCAGGCGGGGCGGCGGCAGCGCGGCCCAAGAAGATGTCCAAAGCACTGCACACACACCCCCTCCGCCCTTGTCGTTCCCCACCCGTTGTCCCCTTCAGGCGGAGCAGCAGGCGGGGCACCAGCGGCAGGCCCAAGAAGATGTCAAAAGCAGATAACCCTGCCCTTTCCCAACCCTTCCCCCCCTCCGCCTTGCTGCACTTCCCTCAGGTGGTGCAGCAGGCGGGGCGGCAGCAGCGCGGCCCAAGAAGATGTCCAAAGCAGCTGCAGCTGCTGCTGCCGCGGCGGCTCAGAAGCAGGCGGCAGGTGGGCGGCAGTGAGGGGTGGCAGGTGGGGCAGCGTGAGTGGTGGGCAGGTGGGCGGCAGTGAGCGATGACAGGTGGGCAGCAGTGAGCGATGACAGGTGGGCGGCAGTGAGCGATGACAGGTGGGCGGCAGTGAGCGATGACAGGTGGGCGGCAGTGAGCGATGACAGGTGGGCGGCAGTGAGCGATGACAGGTGGGCGGCAGTGAGGGGTGGCAGGTGGGGCAGCGTGAGTGGTGGGCAGGTGGGCGGCAGTGAGCGATGACAGGTGGGCGGCAGTGAGCGATGACAGGTGGGCGGCAGTGAGCGATGACTGGTGGGCGGCAGTGAGCGATGACAGGTGGGCGGCAGTGAGCGATGACAGGTGGGCGGCAGTGAGGGGTGGCAGGTGGGGCAGCGTGAGTGGTGGGCAGGTGGGCGGCAGTGAGCGATGACAGGTGGGCGGCAGTGAGCGATGACAGGTGGGCGGCAGTGAGCGATGACAGGTGGGCGGCAGTGAGGGGTGGCAGGTGGGGCAGCGTGAGTGGTGGGCAGGTGGGCGGCAGTGAGCGATGACAGGTGGGCAGCAGTGAGCGATGACAGGTGGGCGGCAGTGAGCGATGACAGGTGGGCGGCAGTGAGCGATGACAGGTGGGCGGCAGTGAGCGATGACAGGTGGGCGGCGGCAGTGAGCGATGACAGGTGGGCGGCAGTGTGAGATAGTTCGTTCTTTTGGTAAGCTGCGTGAGGTGAGAATCGAGAGTGAGGAGGTGGGATGTGGGAGGTGGGTTGGAGGGGGTGGGTGGGTGCTAGGTGCGCAGCAGTCCCCTCCCATCCGCCTGTTCAGCAGTGAGGATGATCGAGGATCACATTCACAGCCTTTCACCTCATTTGCCTCCCTCCCTCCTCCCCCCTCTTCCTCTGTGCTCTGCCACTCTGTCTGCTCTTCCAGAGGCAAAGGCAGGAGCAGCTGGAGGAGATGCTACGGTGATTGCTATTGGTCAGCAACAGCAGTCACAGCAGCAGCAGCAGCAGCAGCAGCAGCTACTGAAGCAACAACAGCAGCAAGAGATGCAGCAGCAACAACAGCAGCAGCAGCAGCAGCACCAACAGCAGGAACATCAGCAGCAGCTGCAGCAACAGCGGCATCAGCAGCAGCAGCAGCAGCAGCAGCAGCAACAGCAGCAGCAGCAGCAGCAGCAGCAGCAGCAGCAGCAGCAGCAGAAGCAGCAGCAGCAGCGGCAGCAGGGGAGGGAAGGGGGAAAGGAGGGGCCAGGGGGTGGAGAGGCGGAGCGAGGGCGGGCAGCAGTGGGGGGAGCCGAGCGCAAGGACAAGAAGGCAGCTGCTAAGCAAGGGGCGCACGGAGGGGGCGCAGCTACAGGGGGAAAAGTGGCGTGAGTCCCTTTGCCTGATTTTGCTCTGCTGGACGTTTCGAGTTTGTGATTTTATTCTCTATGACGTTGTATCGATCCAGTCCATCTGTGTAAGCTTCTTTACTATACTATATTCTATTTTCCTTTCTTTAACTATGTCGTAACGAGCTTGTCTTCTTGCCCCTTCCGCACTCCCTGTTCCCTCTCCCTGTCCCCTTTCCCTGTTCCCTTTGCCTCTCGCCTCTTACTATCTCGCCTCTCTCCTTGCCCTTTTCCCTGTCCTCTCTGCCCGTTCCCTCTCCGTCTCCCTATCTCCCCTCTCCCTGTCACCTCTCCCTGTGCGGCAGTGCTGTGTCTGACACCCCTGCTGCCACGGGATCAGCACATGCTGCCAAGCCCGTCACGGCACCAGCAGCAGGCATGCTCGCCCACTCACTCACCCACCCACCTCTCCCACCTCTCCCCTCTCCTCACGCACATCGATGGCTCTCTGCCTCGTCTTTTGTTTGACGACACAACAGCCACCCTTACCCACACTCACACTCTCCTTGCGCCACTCTCTTGTGCCATCTTCAATCCAAGCCTGCTTACCCATCCCATCCCATCCCATCCCATCCCATCCCATCCCATCCCATCCCAGAACATAACATGCCATGGACTGCACACACACACGCCTCAGAACGCGCCACTCAATGCTCCACTCCACGCTGTTTTTAATGCCCCACCACGCGCGCGTTCCTTCCATGCCACAATTCACCCACCACACCCCACGCCCATCTCACCTCGCACCCCTAGCAGGCAAGCCAGCGGCGCCAAAGAAGAAGGCGAGTGCGTCGCGGCGCAGCACCTTCGACTTCATCCTCAAGCAGTCCAAGCCGCTGCGCAAGGACCAGCACCCGCCAGGTGCACATGTGTTATAGCCAGGGGGGTATAGTGCCCAGGTGGGGATAGCAGCGCCCATGTGGGGATAGCAGCGCCCATGTGGGGATAGCAGCGCCCAGGATGGTACGTGTGGCCTACGATGAGTGATTTTTTCCAGCAATCTTGGCGGGAACCAGCCAGACATTGCAGCAGCAGAGGGTTAAAGCGACCAGACGGGGAAATCTTATTTTACCCTCCACTCCGTTCTCCACCCTCTCTCTTCCACTCCACACCTTCCCTCCCTCCTGCATCCCCCCCCTTTCTTTTCCCCCACATCCCCCACCCTCTCTCCTTCCATCATTCACCCCTTTCTGCTCCATCCTCTACCCGCTTCCCTTCTCCACCAACCCCTCCCTTCCCTCCCTTCCCCTCCCTTCCCCTCCCTTCCCCTCCCTTCCCCTCCCTTCCCCTCCCTTCCCCTCCCTTCCCCTCCCTTCCCCTCCCTTCCCCTCCCTTACAGCCCCCGCGCCACTACCGCTAGCGACGGGCATGCAGCATGCGCGGCACGAGGCGAGGCTGAGGGGCGTGCTGGGGGCGCTCTTCTGGGAGGCCAGCTCACGGGCCATCACCAACCAGAGCACCCCCTCCCCCTCCCCCGCCGCCCTCCCCCTCGCCTCCCACCCCACGCCCTCGCCCTCCTCCCTCCCCCCCACGCCCTCTTCCGCTGCCCCAAATCTGCCCGCCGCCTCCCTCTCCTCATTCCCTGCCACCGCTGCTGCTGCCCATTCTGGTGTGGCCTCTCAGCCGTCGTCTCTGTCACACAGTGCCGCGCCACTTGCCCCGCCCTCCTCCTCCTCCCTGGACCCCCTCTCGCTGCATAAGTTCTCCGAGCTTCCAGGCTCGGGCTTGGGGCTGCCAGGTTTCCAGACCTTGCAGGGAGGCTCGGGAGCAACTGGTTTGGCAGGAGGGGGAGGGGGAGGGGGGAACAGTGGGAGCGGGAGGATGAGGGGAATGGCAGGGGGAGGCATGGGTGGGGGTTCTGGGGGAGGAGGGGAAGGGGAAGGGGGTGCGGGGGGAGCAGCAGTTGCGGGTATGGGCGGGATGGGCGGATACGGGGGTGCGTTCAACACGAGTGGAGGCGGGGTGAACTCAGGAGCGGCAGGAGGCAGGGTGGTGGGTGGGATGGGGGCAACGGCAGGCGCTGGAGGGATGGGAGGAGGCATGGGAGGGAATATGGGAAGTCTGGGCATGGGTATGGGCATGGGCATGGGCATGGGTATGAATATGGGCATGGGCGCAGGCACAAGTGGTCGTATGGATGCTTCTTTCTCTTCGCCCCCTGCCTCTGCATCCAATCCGCTCTCCCAGTTTTCCTCCCCTTCTTCTGCGCTGCCTGCTGCCATGGCTGCCACTACCACTGCTATGGGTGCGGGTATGGGCGCACGCATGACTTTTGAGTCCACTCAAAAGGGCATGGGTGCGGGCATGGGTGCAAATATGGGTGCTGGCATGGGAGCAGGCATGGGTAGTGGTGTGGGCGGTGCAGGTGGTGCGGGTGGTGGTGGTAGTGGTGGTGCTGGCATGTCGTCTTGGCAGGCACAGCAGCATGGGCAGGGGCAGCTGCAGGGGCTGCGACAGGGGCAGCAAGGGCAGGGACAGCAGGGGCAGGGGCAGCAAGGGCAGGGACAGCAGGGGCAGGGGCAGCAAGGGCAGGGGCAGCAGGGGCAGGGGCAGCAAGGGCAGGGGCAGTTGCAAGGGCAGGGGCAGCAAGGGCAGGTGCAAGGGCAGGGGCACGGACAGGGGCAGTTGCTGGGACAGGGACAAGAGCAAGGGGGGCAGGAGTTTCAGGGGCAGGCAGCGCACGGCACAGTGCTGCAGGGGGTGGCGGGGGACGGGAACTTGCAGGGGCGATCGGGTGTGCATGGAGGGGTGGGGCAGAAGGAGCCGAGCAACAGCAAAGGCGCCACTGCTGCCGTTGGTGCTGTGGGCGCTGCTGCTGCCTCTCCCGCCCCCGCTGCTCCTGCCGCTGCTCCTCAGGTGGGAAAGAAGAGACTTGTGGATTCTTCAAGCTACAAGAGGTTCAAGCACCCTCGACTAACGCTCTCTTTCTCTCACATTCGTCTATTTTCCTTGTTGTTACTTTCCATCCGATTCCTCAGAAGCCCAAGTCTCGGCCAAAAAAGGCATCAGCCGCAGCAGCGGCAGCGGCAGCGGCAGCAGGAGCAGCAGGAGCAGGAGGAGCAGGAGGAGCAGGAGGAGCAGCGGAAGCAGCTGCTGCACAGAAGCCCAAGCCCAAGTCAAAGCCTAAGGTCTCTGCCAAAGCCAGAGCCGCTGCTGCAGCCGCCGCCGCTGCCGCCGCCGCCGCCGCTGCTGCTGCGAACGCCTCTTCTGCTGGTGGGGCAGCTCCGGGTGGCTCTGCTGCTGCTTCTGCTGCGGCTGACAGTGAGGGTGCGCCTGCTGCTGCTGTTGCTGCTGCTACTGCGAGTGGTGCCACAGCAGGGAGTGCGAGGAGCAGTGCAGGTGGCAGCGAGGGCGAGGCGGCAGGGAAGGCGATGAAAGGCCTTCCAAGCCCGCGCGGCGGGGGCGAGAAGCAGGGCTTCCTGCGCGATGGCGGGCAGGGGCAGCAGCAGGCGGTGCACTCGCCTCAGCAGCTGGCTCAGCTGGCGGCGCACCTGCAGTCCCAGCTTGGGGGACAATCAGGTGGGGGAAATGGGGGCCCTCAGGGCAGTCAGTTAGGTGGGCAGAATCAGGCTAGACAGAAGATGCAGCAGCAGCAAATGCAGCAGCAGCAGCAGTTGAAGCAGCAGCAGCAGCAGCAAATGCAGCAGCAGCAGCAGCATTTGCAGAGGCAGCAGGGCATGCGGCAAGGCCAGGTGCAAGGGCAGCAGCAGCAGATGCAGCAAATGCAGGGGCTTTCCTCCCCTCCTCACAGCAGCCCGCCAGCACCGATGAATCAAAGGCACATGTTCCAGCCGCCTCACCAGCAGCCGCACCAGCTGCAGCAACAGCAAGGGGGAGGAGGAAGGGCGATGGGGGGAGCAGGCGGGGCGGGGGGGCACATGCAGGCGCCTGGGGAGATGCTTGTGCAGCAGCAACGGCAGCAGCTGGCAGGATCCATGGGGCAGGAGGGGAGGGGGATGGACCGAGGCACAGGGCAGCAGGGGCAGGGGCAGGGGCAGGGAGTTGCAGGAATGGGGGGAATGGGAGGGATGGGTATGGGTATGGGTAGCATGGGAGGAATGGGAGGGATGGGGGGCATGGGGGCGATGGGGGGTGTGTTGCAGGGAATGGGAGCAGGCAATGCTGGTGCAGGGAGGGCGGGCTCCTTCCAAGGTGAGCCCACGACTCGCTCGCTTGGTTTGATCCGTTTTGATTGCTTTCCGTCGCATGCATCCACGTCACATGCATCCACGTCACATGCATCCACGTCACATGCATCCACGTCACATGCATCCACGTCGCATGCATCCACGTCGCATGCATCCACGTCGCATGCATCCACGTCGCATACATCCACGTCGCATGCATCCACGTCGCATGCATCCACGTCACATACATCCACGTCGCATGCATCCACGTCGCATGCATCCACGTCGCATGCATCCACGTCGCATGCATCCACGTCGCATGCATCCACGTCGCATACATCCACGTCGCATGCATCCACGTCGCATGCATCCACGTCACATACATCCACGTCGCATGCATCCACGTCGCATGCATCCACGTCACATGCATCCACGTCGCATGCATCCACGTCGCATGGATCCATGTCGCATGCATCCACGTCGCATACATCCACGTCGCATGCATCCACGTCGCATGCATCCACGTCACATGTGTTAGATTAGAGCATCAGTTGGGTTCTAAATGTGCAAGTGTAACACCCAAACATGGGTGTACACTTTGGGCCAAGGCGCCCCAACCAGTTCTGGTTGGGCGCGTCCCAACCCCACTCTGCCACAATTGGCGGGGGGAACCAGGCCCCCCAATAATTGGCAGCCACCTCCAAAACATTATTGGTGGCTGCTCCCATTGGCTCACCAATAATGTTGCGGGTACCCAACCTAGGTCTCCCACTTCTCATCCCTTATATGTACCCACCATCTTTCTAATCAAACCAACTCTTGAGTTCACCCATCATCCCAACTATGGGATTCTCATAACATGCATCCACGTCACATGCATCCACGTCACATGCATCCACGACGCATGCATCTACAGAATGGTCTGCCTCACAAGCTCTCAGCACTCGCACCCACCCTACTCACTCTTACCCACCCTACTCACTCTTCACTCTCTGCTCTCCAATTTTCATTTCTGTCCTCTGCTCTTTTCTCTCTGCTCTCTGCCCTCTGCTCACTGCTCTCTGCTTGCTGCTCACTGCTCACTGCTCGCTGCTCTCTGCTCGCTGCTCACTGCTCTCTGCTCTCTGCTCACTGCTCTCTGCTCTGCTCTTTCACTGATCGCTCTGATCCTTCTTCCACCCAATGCCAGGCCAAGGCTCGATGGCATCGTCTCAAATGCCGGCCCACATGAGGGGCTTGCCAGCACAGACCATGCAGCAGCAGCCGCAGTACAGTCAGCAGCATCAGGAGCAGCAGCAAATGCAGCAGCAGTGGGCGTCTGGCCAGCCAGGAGGTGCAGGACGGGCAGGTGGAGCTGGGGGGATGCAGCAGCAGCAGCAGGCGGGACAAGGGCAAGGGCAAGTGCAAGCAGCAGGGCGGAGTGGGTCAGGAGGGGCAGGCATGGATGAGCCCTTCCCTGCTGACCACCCTCCGGAGCGCATGGGCATGCAACAGCATGGCTCCTTCCATGCCTCCTCCCACATCCCCTCTGCTGCTGCTTCCGGTCAAGGCATGGGCATGGGCATGGGCATGGGAGGAGCAGCGGGCATGGGCATGGGAGGAGCAGCGGGTATGGGCATGGGGGGAGGGTCGTCGCTGCTGGCGGGGATTCCCAACTCATCCCTCGTGTCGTCCTTTGGGGGCATGGGAGGGGCAGGGGGAGGGATGAGGGGCATGGAGGGCATGGGAGCGATGGGGGGAGCGGGAGGGGGTTTGGGGGGCGGTGATGGGGCTGGAGGGGCAGGTGGGCGTG